TTGATTGTTGGTGTAATTGACAGATAACGTAATCAACTGATAATGTAATTGATTCATGCCACCAACCTGCCTGGCCTTAGCGTGTGTAAGCTTGAAATTATTCTGCAAGGGGCATCTTAATCCCTGTTCTATAAAGAAATTAGGACCTAGTGCTGTAGACGCAGCTGGAAAGTGGCAAAGTTGAATTTTGAACTCAGGGCCGTGATGCCTGAGAGATGTCCTTCAACTCCCTGGGCCTCAGTTTCCCCTCCTGAACAAAGAGGGCAGGGTAGGATATTCTGGGGGTCTCGAGACTCCAACAGCCCTGGTGGCGTGGCGCCTTGCTCCGTGCCCCCTCCTCTGGAGCATGTGGGAAGGATGGACTTCTAGGGCTGGATTGCATCCTTGGAGGAGACGAGGGCCCCTGAGAGTCCCCATGAGAATAGGAGACGTGGGGGGAGGGGAGCCCCCAGGACTGCTCCCCTCCCTGCCCGCCTTGACTTCCCTTCCTGCCTACCCCACCCCTCCCCTGCAGCATTTCTGAAGGGCCTGAGTGACAAACAGCGGGAGGAACATTACTTCTGCAAGGACTTCATCAAGCTGAAGAAGATCCCGACCTGGAAGGAGACCGCGAAAGGTAGGCCCGCTGGGGAGGCCTCGCCGGCCACGCGGCGGGTGGCCTCTTTGGACCCACAGCTTAGGAGAATCATACAGACAAGGCCAAGGAGAAGGGCAGCGGCATTTATTGAGTGCTGACTGTGCGCAGGGCACTTTGCGTGTGTCACCTCATTTAATTAGTAGCACAGCCTGAGGCACGTTTGGCTTTTTCCTCCACATGTGGGAGGCTGAGCCCAGACCCATGTCACCTGGCTGTGGAGCTGAGGTTTGTAGCTGTGGTGGAGTGGCTTGCAGGGGCCATGCTAGCGAGTGCCCAGGTCTTGCAAATCGCAGGCCTGGTAACTGGTAACCTGGGCAAGTCACTTAACCCACCTAGGCAAACCTTTCCTCTCCTACCACTGTAAAATGGGATGGAAGACATTAAAACTGTACCTGTGCGTAACATTGTAAAGATTCAAGGAGACCGTGTGTGTGCTGCACATAGTAGGTGGGCTGTCATTGCCAGTGTCATCGGTCCCCACGAGGCAGGCCGCCTCTGGAGGTGGAGTGGGGTCGACAGAGGAGCCTGGCCCGTGGGCACTGGTGGGTCACTCTTCAGTGGGGGCCTTTCTGCGACACCCCCCCGACCCCAGCCTCCGCTTGTTTCAGGGTTGACCGTGAAGGCGGAGGAGCCCAAGTATAAGAAGGACAAGCAACTCAACGAGAAGATCTCCCTGTTCCGAGGTGATATAACCAAGCTGGAGGTGGACGCCATTGTCAACGCCGGTGAGTGGGGCTCCTGGCTGCCCTGAGCCAGAGACCTGGGTCGCCTTTTCACCTTTGCTGCGGGTCAGGGGGGACACCACCTGGCTCCAGCAAGGCTCGGGTGGCTGACAAGCTGGCCCGCCGGCGCCACGGGAACCTAGTGTGCCGGCCGCGAGGACTCCCCTCCCTTGAAACCCTGACCCGCTGTGTCGGGGGCGCCTTGGCTAAGCGGCCTCGCCGCTCTGAGACCCATTAGCTGGGAAGAGAGAGCCTGGAATTGCGCCGGGCTGCTCTGCCGGGAAGGCGGCCGCCCCGACCACCGCTCTCCTTCCTCTGCCTCCCGCCCGCCCTGTGCCCCTGTGCTCGGCTTCCCGTGGTGGCTCTTGCTGGCTTGGCAGTTTATTGTGATGAGTTGAGGAGCCTGCTGCTCTGTCTGTTCTTAGGGGAGGGAGGAGGGTGGCTGTTCTCCTTCCAGGTGGTGGTTGTCTGGTCAAGGTCAGGGGTGGACTGTAAAGGGGCAGTGAGGTCCAGCAGGTGCACAGATAGTTCATGGGACAAGGGTGAGTGGGGCTAAAGCTTGCCCTCGCTCTCCTGCTCGCGAAGCATCAAGGAAGGCACCCCCTTCTTAGAGGAAGCTTTGGGGACCTGGGCACACAGGGAAACCCACCGTGCTGGCTCCCTCCCATCGTGCAGTCTCAGGCACCCTAAGGAGTGTCTTCAGTCTCCTTCCGCTCACCCCCGGGCTTGCAGCCATTGTGTCCAACCCCAGTGCTGGCCAGGGAGTGGGGTCACCGAGGGGCTCTGGGACACGGTGGTGTTGATACTGATCTCGCTCGGTGACGAGGCTCTCAGGACTCAGGGAGAGGTGGCTGCTCGGCTGCTCCAGACCTGCTCGTTGTGGTCTGGGTTGCGTTTCTGGCAGTGGCCTCACTCTGTGTGTTCCTGCCAGCATTTGCAGAGCTGTGCAGTCACATGCATGTCCCTCCCCTCACCTTGCCTGTTTTGGTGCACAGGTGATCAGTCGCATGAAGACAGGAGTTCCAACTTGGAGCAGAGGGAGCTTGGGTCACCTTTGGGTTTCTGCTGCTGCTTTTGCTGTGTTCCTTTTGGGCCTCTAGGATGGCAGGTGGCAGTGAGGTCCTCACGGAGTCACAGGGAGTCACAGTCCAGGGAGTCACAGAGCTAAGACAAGCCAAGCTGTGTTGATTGATGTCACAGTAGACCAGGAGATTAGGGCCTTCTTGCTTTCTGGACTCAGGAGGGGTTGGCCTGAGGTAGAAGGGACCGAGCGTTGGGGTCATGGCTGAGGGGACAGCCCCGCAGGCCCCTGGGGCTGCCCTGCCCGGTGTCCCTGGCCTTGTCAGTCACCGGCAAGGGTGTGGGAAGCACCCTGTTGGCACTATCGTCGCTGAGCTGCAAAGTGGCCAGAGGGAAAAGTGGGACATCTTATCAGCTCCTTCCCAGCTGGGTTGGTGGTTGGCGGGCCAGGAGGGAGGGTGGGGAGACCGAGGCAGGTGTCAGCAGGATGCAGATGGTGCGGGTGGGGGCTCTGGAGGACTGCGGGTGATTAATGGCCCTTCTGAGTGCCCTGTGCCTGGCTAGCCTCCGAGTGCAGCGGCTCTGGCAGCCTCTCACGCGCTCAGAGAAGCACTTTGGTGCTGGCTTCATTTGACTACACCGGGTGGGGGGTGGCAGCATTCGCCATGTCCCTCCAAGGACTCCCCTTCTCCATGTACCTGTCCAGGCTCGTTTCTTCTGAATGGTGGGGGTGGTAGACGGCCTGGCTGTGGGGTGTTGGGGGACATGTGGAGCCGGTGCTCATGAATCATGAGGCTCACGCAGCACTTGGCGTGAACCGAGGTCCCAGCACCTGTGGCTGTTGTCAGTGCCAGAACTGATGCCATCCTTGTCACTCTGGGTATCAACCCTGCCCCAGTGATGAAAAGGGATGCCGGGTGCCTCAGATGAGCAACTTTCTCCTGCCTCTGCCTGCCTCAGTTTACCTAATACCTCGTGGTGTGTTTTCCTGGGTTCTGTATTTTTCTAGAGAGAGTCTCACAGTAGGGAGGACCCAGAACCTGCCAGGGACCCCAGGGCATGTCTGAGGCTGGCCCTGGACTTTGGGGTCCCACACACAGCCTGCACGCCCTGCAGGCCCTCTGTCCAGGTGTTCGCCTGGCTCTGGTGTCTGGGTGGCCTTGGCACTGGTCAGAGCTCTAGAGTCCTTGGTGGTCTTGGCACAGGTCCTCACATAGGGGATCCTGGGGCCTCATCCCTGGGGGCTCCACGGCCTTGGCTCAGCCCGGCCCACCGCCCACCAGGGGGCAGCAGAGATCGTGGTCCCTGCTCCCAGTGGCGTCCTGTAAATCAGCCTGTTTATTAGTGGAATAAAAGTCGCAGCATCGAGGGGCTTTTCCGGGCTGCATAAATCTGATCTGTGCCTCGTGAAACCCATATGTGCTTAATTCATATGTAAAGTTTCAAGCAGGAAGAGAATACGTGTCCATTAAATTCTATTTGACTTGATTATAATCATTAGCCGTGAATAATTGCTTCTCAGTGCCGACCGCTGAGCCACCACAATGGGATAAAGGAGGGAGCAATTATCTCAGGGTGGAAATTTAAAAATTTTTATTTTTGAAGCCAAGGGCAGTGTTGGCCCCTGTGGGCATTGGTGGCCCATGGGGCCTGTGCAGGTCAGACAGGGCTGGGGGCTTGAGGTCAGCTGCAGAGCTTCTGGATTTTGTGGGGGTGTTTCTTTTTGTTTCTGCAGCCAAACGGGGGGTACAGTGAAGGTGCCATCGCTGTCTGGGCCTCGCTCCAGCTGCAGGGACCCTGGAGGGGGAGGCATCTGTGGAGCTGGGAAGGGCCTGTGAGAGAAAGGGGAGTTGGGACTCCTACAACCTCCTCCATCCCGAAAAGCCTTGGGCTGGGGGGGGTCTCCAGTCCAGCTGAGGGTACTCTTCCCACCCCTCGAGAGGACCCTGGGGATCCTTGGAGAGGGCAGGGGCCAGGTACCCTTTCCGACTGCGCCTCACCCCCCTCCGCCCCACGGAGGGACCCCCATGGCCTCTCTCTGGACTTTGGAAAATCACACTCTGTTTCCCAACTGGCCCACTGACATTGGAAGTCCAGGACTGGTTTTCACCCCACTTTGCTGATATTTGAGATGATTGGGATGTGCACGCACATGTGCGTCTGCGTGTGTGTGCGCGTGTGCGTGTGGTATGACGTATATTATATAGTATGTGGAGGAGGGGCTGGGACAGAGAGTGGAAGGGGTGATGCCTGGCTGGCGGGTGGCAGGACTCGAAGTCACAGGGGGTAGGACCAAACCCCCCAAGTCCCCAGGCACAGTGCAGGCATCCCTGGACCCTCCTCAGCCCTCCTGGCCAAGGCCGCTTGCTCAGGCAGCACCCGGAGAGTCTCAGGCTCCCACCATCCGCGTGGGCCACGGCTCCTGCCCACAGGGGCACACAGCATCCATCTTAATTAAATTAGGCTGCCACACTGGCAGGAGAAGCCAGGGAGCCCCTGCAGGCCCCCATTCTGGAGCAGGAGATTCTGGGGAGCAGTGCCTGCCTCCCCATCTTGGCCTACAACCCCAGGCTCTGTCTTAGAAGAGCCGTGCCTGGCATCTCCTCCATGTCTGAGGGTCTCCACCCAGGGGGCGTTTCGACTTCCGGAGTATTCGTGTCTTCTCTTTGTGATGCGGGGTGGGAGATGTGTGTGGCATGACCTTAACTGGGTCCCTTCCATGCCTTTAAGGTTCCCAGCATACCAGGCCTGGGCCTGTGGGCCCCTAGTTCCCGACAGACAGCTGAGTCCCAGGGAGGAAGTGTCCAAGCATAAAGACTCCCATTCTCGGCCAGCTCAGGGGTCGGGCTGCCGGCTTTGGCCTTCAGGCGTAATGGGACAGGGCAGGGATGAATGTGATGCTTTGTGCAAAGACAGAAAGAATCTCTCACTTCAAAGGTGTCCCAGGCCAGCGAGTCAGGGCCATGAGCACAGAGGCTAGGAGCTGGGTCGGAATCCCAGCGGTCCTACTGGCGGTGCTGTGGCCTCCGGCCGGGCGTGTCTGAGCCTCAGTTTCCTCATCTGCAAAAAGGATCATCATCGGCTCCACCCATGGTGGTGTGAGGATGACATGAGTTCGTTCAGGTCCATCCAGCACTGGGCGCATGGTCTGGCACAGAGGGAGCCCCTAGGAAATTATTATTGGGAAGTCAAGAGCAAGAGCAGCTAAGTAGACTATAATGTGACAAAGCACTGGAAACAAGATCTGAACAAAGTGCCATGAGACACCACAGGGACCAATTAATTTTGCAGGGAGGTGGCGGGAGGCAAGGGGGGGTCATTGAGGCCTTTGAGGGGCCTGGGCACATGGGCCAGGCCATGCAGACTGGGTGGGAAGCTGTGTTTCACAGCGACAAGCTGGCCTCACTGGGAGTTTTTTAAGCTGCTTATTTATTTAAAATAAGGCATGAAGTGGCACTCTGTTTCCTTAAGTCTTGGGGCTTTGATTTGCGGTCTGCCAGCCGCGTATCGTCCCCCTCCTCCAGCCACGCCAGCCAGACTCTTGCTTCATCCTTCAGCTGCCTGGAAGGCCCCGAGGAGCCGGCCCCCTTGCTGCCTGCCCCTGGGCCACCACTCAGAGTCAGTGATTTAGAGACTGCCTTGATGGACTAGCAAGCAGGGGGCCGAGGGACACCGACTGCCTTGTGGGAAGTGATCTGATGCTAAACTGTCGCCGTAAATCGCTTTATCTGTCACTTCAGATTTAACTGTATTTGCTGAGGCTTGCTGCCACGGCCAACAGCAGCCCTCTCTGCAGCGGGCAGGGAGGGCGGGTGTAGACTGGGACCTGCGAGCAGCAGCAGATTTTGCTGGGCCCTGTCCCCCGGGGAGCACGGGCTGAGGGCCAGCCCCCACTTTGGTGCTGACCCCTTGGTGCCAGCCCGAGGCATCCGTGAGGCATGCAGGACTATGATCCCCATTCCCAGTGATTGGACCATGAACTC